AATTTCAGTAAAATTATATTTTCTAAGTTGTATTAACTCCACACACCCCACCTCGTTTTATTTTATTGATCTGTTTTAAAACATTGGGTTATGAAAAGGTACATTTATGTACTTTTCACTGAGAAAAAATTATTGAAACTTATTTTAAATATTTACTTTTAGAAACTTACTTTTTACTTAAAAAAAAAAAGCAGTATGCAAACATACCCTTCAGTATTCAGTCCATGCATGTCATATATAGAAACTAAGCTGCCAAATTGGCCCGTTTTTAACTGATTGTTTTATGATGTCGCAAAAACCAACAAATTTACAAATATCTGCCTATTCAACCTACAGGAGTTTAGCTCTGCCCATTCAAGTTACAATGAGTGTTTCAACCCATATTGCTTTTGGAATGGGGTGCAATACAGGGCAGCCAATCAGAACAGAAGTCATTTTAATATATCACTTTTAAAGACACAGCCTGGATAATCAGATGTTGGAAAATGATGGAATAAAACTGAATTATGACTGTTCGGTACATAAGCCCACAAAAAGTGATAACTGGACCTCAGAGTAATAAATACAATATAAGAAAAATGTGAAAGAGATAAGATAGAGACAGAGTGTAGACAGAATTCACCCACAGAAGGTGCCTGCAAAAATGAAGGACACAGCGCTGTGAAAATGAAGGCTGGCTATTGTTAGGCTAGTTTGATCCTGTTTGATCCCGTATACTGCAGCATTTCTGCAGGCACACCGAGTGTAATTTTGGGAACGGAGGGAGAGACATCTGTTTTGGGAGAACCCATTTCTCTTCAACAATGCTGGTTTATTCTTCCTTATCGCATTGATCCTCTCTACTCTTTCTTTTTTCTCTGGCGTCGTGCTGAGGGAATTTACAGACACAATAGTGACAATGACAGAGGCACTATCACAGGCCTAAACACAAACGAACACACGCACGTACTCAGTCAGCCACTGCAGCGTGAGTCACCCGCAGAAACCCTGCTGCAGTGAGTCTGGGCAGACTGTTCAGATATGTGTGCGCCTCTGGGGACTCCACAAGCTCAGAGAGAGCCCACAACATCCACCGGGTGCAGAAACAACAAACAGCGTGACGCAAAGAGTCAAACCCACTTATGCTTACCAGCGGATCATACATGCAAGGACAGAGAGACATCTAACATCAGAGACATCTGGATAACGCAGCCAAACGGGATTCACACACATCAGCTCACGGCATATACTGCTTATGCAATGGCTGGCTGGCTGACTAAATAAATAAATAAAAATAACTCTAAATAAATAAAAAGATGAATAAAAAATAAATAAATACATTCTTTGTATGCCTGTGTAAATGTGTCACTGGTATGGGGGAGTGTGGGGGGCTAGAAAAGAAGGAAAGAAAGAAAGAAAGAAAGACAGAAAGAGCAAAAGAGCGAAAGGAAGAGCGAAAGAAAGAGCGAAAGAAAGAGCGAAAGAAAGAAAGAAAGAAAGAAAGAGAGCGAAAGAAAGAAAGAAAGAAAGAAAGAAATGGTTGGACGGATGGACAGACAGACGGAAGGAAGGAAGGCAGAGGGAAGGAAGGAAGGAAAGCAGAAGGAAGAACAAGACTGTTTGGTAATGAACCTCAGTGATAAAGTCTCAGTGAAAACATAAGTGATAAAGATATATGACTTAGTAATGGGTAACCAAATTTATATTTGAAATTGATTAAATAAAAATGTTAAAATTTCTGTATTATTACCGCAAGCGTGTTGCCATGGACACATTGCGGAGGATGTGACTGAGAAGTAGCGAGGCTTTTTTGCTAACTTGGCTAACTACTACTTGTGTTAGCTAGATCCAGAAGCAATAAAAATATATTTATCTGACAAACTAACATGTTGGCACATCGTCCACTGAGGAGTAAATACCTCATATAAAGAAGACGACGAGTCCTCATCAGCGTCCAACGCTGTACCGGTTAGCAGCAGTGTTCAGTGTATTTGACTGTGTGCAGTAATATTTTTGTGTTTCTGATGTTTTTTTGTACTTACCACCACTGATATCAGCTAAAAAGTAAACATATGGGCCCTACATTCATTTAGGCCAATGTTAATTTTGCTTTGTCCTTTTATGGCTTTTTTCCCTGCAGTTAACTGAGTATGTTCATTAACTTTCATGGTCACTTAAATATCAAATTCGGTCAGAAATAAAACCCTAAGTCACACAGAGACAAAAGCTAGAAAAAACCAACTGTGTTGCCTGATCAGGATCATATGGATATTTTAGACTGCGTGGTGACTGACAGCATTGTAGCCATGGTAAACAAACAGTCTCAGGACAGCAGGCTTTGGAGTTCATCATAACACCAAAACTGGGCTTTGAATTGGATTACAAAGATAATGTTATGTTCAATTGGCAGTTTCCAGTGTTAAAGGCTAACCATGTAGCATTTCCTACGTAATATCATGGGTGATAAATCATCCAAATAACATAAACACTCTTACTGTTTAATAAATAATAAAGGAGAAATCAAATAAAATTAGAAAGTGCATAACTGCTTTTAAAATGCACAAAAACGTCAGCTACGTTTACGTCAGACTCTTCCAACACAGCCCCACCAAAATCAAAGCCAACAGAAGAAGCATAAAATGTTAATCTCCCAGTCAACATGACTGACATTGTTTTATTTGATGACAAATTTTAAATTCACCCTAAAGCTACCAGCAAAAAATGGATTATGGAAATAAGCTGACAGCCCCTTTAAGGTGACAGCGGGTGCAGATAATACAGAAATAAGCAACCTGTAGAGGACATGATCAATTCATTGATTTGTATACTGAGGTTAGTAACCAGATTAACAAGATTTGTGTAACAGCATCAGGGCAGGTACTATAGCCCATAATGGAGTCATGGTATTGATGACTGTGACCTTTGTGTCCTGAGAACTGCATGATGGGCTTCTCTTGCTATCAGTGTAGTCCCTACTGCTCTTTCACGAAACTGGTACAGACAATAGATAAGAGCAGATAACAATTCTAACAGGTAATAGAGTTCTTTGTCTAATAGTTTTAAATGGTGCTAAAACACAGGGTGCATGCAGGTAAAGCGAACACAGTTAAGCCTTTTGATGTCTCTCAGCGGCACTGTGGAAAGCCGAGGAAAATTGTTTTCCATGAAGCAGCTAATTGGGTATTAGAGTGACTTTTTGGAAGAAAATGCGCAATTCAAAGAAGGCCAAGTGTTACATGAATAATTTCACTATCACTAAAAAAGCTGTATATGAAGCTATTAAACTGTTTGATTTTGATATTTATTTACTGCAGCATCACATTAACCTTTTTGAATCTTTGAAAAATACCCAGAATAGCTAAGTTGTTCTACTTTATTTGAACTGACCCTATACAGTATTGCATAATTTAATACCCATGAGCAAAGCAAGTAACAAAATAATCGCCCCCCCTCTTTCATTTGCTCGTGGGCCTGTTGTGCCTACACACTGATTTAATGCACGCTGAAAGAGAGGAGGTCGAGCCATTGCAGAGTTTAATGTGCTCTTCAGTGGAAGGAAGCAAAAAGCGAAGAGTTCTTCAGCACAACTCCTCGAAAGATCCATCCAAAGAAATGGCTATTTGGGTTTTTAGGAACAGCACAAAAAAGGCACTGGTGCACTGACCCTGAACTGGCTCTTGGTGCAGGGAGATATTTCTCCGTTGTAACAGTTTCAGTGGGCTGAGGTAAACGCCTGGCCTGCAACGTCTTGAGCTGAGGCTATAAAATGGAGGATAGGCAGGATTAGCCTGTACTGCCCCAGTGGGCATGCTGCAGGGAGGCAAGCACATCAGCAGAACGGCTCGCTCTTATCTGCCTTGCTCGGAGTCTTTCGCACACACATATTGCACACACATACACACAGTGGGCCTGCAGGCTGCACCTACATCCTCAACACTTAAAAATAGGCTGCACACATACACATACTTTCTGTGTATCCTTGTCTATCATTGAAGGGCATGGGCACAGCGGGAAAGGCTGAGCGTTTTAGGCCTGCATGTGTGTGTCTGACATTTCTGCTCTAAGGCGGCTCAGTGATGCAGTGAGCTAAAGCCCCTCAGGCTACAGCTGGGACTACATCCTGCCCTGCCCAACGCTGACAAACACATACATACAACGCTACTGCAACAAAGCAGCACTTCTCTGGGTAACACATGCACACAGTCTGTCGCTGCTCCATCACAGCTATAACAGGTCTTCTTTGTCTTATATACCGCAGAGAAAAATCTAACAGTCACTAACATGATTAAGCTGTACAACGGGCACAGAGAAGTTCGGGGTTTTCTAGGAATCCCACAGATTTTTCCAAATTTCTGAATAGTTAAATGGTTAAGATGTAAACAAAGTCATTCAGAGTGGTTTGGCTATGAAAGGCGCTGTTCTCCTCTAACAGAGTCACAGTAGCTCACAGTGGTGGTGATCTGAATCGCTTAATGCCTCCAAAAGCTACCACCCAGAAAGCTATTACATGAAATGGTCACAAATGCTTTGCCTGATGCCCAAGACATTGTTTTCGCAAGTGTTGTGATAATCCTTTGGTCAAAAATGTGTTTTTTAAAATCTCTTCATGGCAGAGAGGTACATGGAGCATCTCCTAAGGCAAAACGAGGCTTGCATTGTTTGATTTACTGCTGTCTCATTCCTTTAAACATTACATATAAAACTCAAAAGACAAGTGTAGGTTCACTAGCCATTTTGAAAAGTAAATAAAATGGCAGTATTTCCCTGTTAGCCATCAACACTCCTGGTTCTTTTCACCATCCTTGTGAAGAAATCTGAGTTGATAAGTTTCTCTACAATGAACCATTTCATGGCAAACCCCTCTGAATGAATTTGTGTTCATCTCAACCAGTGAACTATGTAGAAATTTTTAACAATTGGCGGAATTCCCATTCAAAGTAATTCATTCAAGATTTCAAAAGAATCTGAAACTGGAAGCACATGCCAAATTCTGCAGAAGAAGGACAATAATGATGACTCACAATTAGCTGATTTAGACCCAGGAAGTTCTGCTCCACAGAGTTGGCTGTAAGAACCTGCCGCTTCATTGCTGCCTGGTCTCCAAGGAAACGCAACATCAGGTCCTTCACTGCATCACCCTGCAACATAAGGAGATGGTGTCTGCACATTCTGCTTTCTTTCATGCTTTCTCTGATGCTTTAATCAATTATTACATTATACTTCACAATAGTGGTGGCCCCAAAATTCATAAATTGCATCTAATTGGACTAACAGGGAATTCTAACAATCCATTATAGAACAGAACTGTACTGTCCTTTTTTCACCTCATTATGGCTACAGATGGCACCACTGTTTCCTTTATGATGCAGATATGATATTCCTTGAGTATCGGAAGATACCATTCCATTAGTTCTTCTTGAAGAAAATGCTAAGCTTTCAAATGAGTTGTTTGTAACTGAAGTTCATCACGTAGGATAGGCATCTAAAAGTAGGCTGTTATACTCAAACTACTCAAACATTACCACCCCCACAGAAAGAACTACACAGCTAACACCACCACATCACACAGCGTGATTATATGCTAATTCAGGACAGATTTGTTACAGGATGGGATGTGATTTATAATTTTTTCCTTCAAAATGTGATCCAGCATTTTCTGCTGATGTTGACCTTATACGAATGCCATCTGTTAGCACTGCTTTACATTAATAAACTGATTAGCCTCAATTTAGAGAATTTTCCTCTTACCCACCTGTTCCCCACATTAATGAACAAAAGTACAGACAAAATAGAGGCTTCAAGATGGCTGCTGCAACTGTTCTCATGAACAGTATCATGAACTCTCTCTAACATATCATGAATTCTCTCGGTCATTTTTTTATTCTCATATTGCAGAACCAGGAAATGTCTGAATACCCCCACCAGAGGGCAGTGTAGAACTTGCGTCTTACATTTTAGTTAATGCTTCTTAACTGTTTACTGTTTATCAAAATTAAAACTAAAGAAGCAAACTTCAGAGACCAAACATGGCTGATCTCCTATATTTTGGGAAAACTATGTAGAGTTTTTTGACCAAATTTTTGTTTTAAGCTACAATAATGAGTAAATGTATTTTCGATGAAAAATTTGAAAGAGAAATTATGCACAACAAAAACATACTGACCTGCAAATTGTCAAACTTGAGTCCAGGCATGGACAAGCGGTCTCTCTCCACATACACAGGGTTGACCTGCTGAGTAGCCACAGAGATGAGCACTCTCCTCGTCTCCTCGGAGGGCAGCCAGGCATCGTAGCGCTTGTCTACCTCGCTCAAACTCAGAGCACTGGCGAACGGGTCATCGCTGCCTGAGAAGACCGCTTGGAGCGTAGTCATGGTTGCTGCAGGTTCTGCTGGGCCAGCCATGGGCTTTGGGGTGCTGTCCTGAGGACCGATGCTGAAGAAAGCACTAGGGGTCCCGCCATCCTGATGCTCAGCAGATGGAACAGCACTTGAGCCAGAGGAAAGCTGACGCTCAGCAGGTGTAACAGCCTTCGGTGACTCTGCATTAGGGTTGCTGACCGAAATGAAAGAAGAGGATGTGGTGAAAGAGTCAAAGAAGTCTGAGGCTGGGTTGACCGTGCCATTGTCAGTGAAGAACTTGCTGAGGCTGGGGCTAGGCTGACACACCAGAGGGGCTAGTTTACTGGGGGTTTCATTAGTGCCACTACTAAAACTTGGTGATTTGACAAGAGTGGGCTGGAAGCCATCAGGTACTAGAGTTTTGGGCTGCATGCCTTGGGAGAAAATAGTGCACACTGGGATAGGTTCCTCTTTAGCAGTAGCCTTGGCCACCTCAACTTTCACCTCCTGGCCTTTAGGGCTATCAGGGGTGGGGGTGCCAGCAGCAGCCTGGGTGTCTGTGACCATGTCCTTTGTGAGGTCCTTTTCTTTCTCCTCTGCTTCTTCTTTTTCTACTAAAGATGTAGAAGACTCCACAGGTTCCACACTAGCATCAGGTGTACCCTGTTCAGTTACAGCCTCTGTCTTCTCCTCTTTCACCTCCTCCTCCTCTTTTTCCTCTTCAGGTTCTTTGGAATCAAGGGATTCCTTGTCTTCTCCTTGCTCCAAAAGGGAGTCGATAGGGACATCATCCTCTTCACTGTTAGGGGAGTCAGATATCATGACACTCTCCATCATTTGATCATTGAGCTTGTCCATCATGCTCCCTGATGCAGCGCTGTCATCCTGGGGGGAAATGAAGGCGTCTGCATCCAGGTCAATGCTCTCCTCTGGGAACAAAACGTCTGTAGTGTTGGGCTGGCTGCTGATGGCGGCAGCTTCTAAAGGGGCATGGGCCTCGGGCTCTTCATTCCCTACTCCTGCTATATCCAGAGTCAAAGGCCTTTGAGCTGCATCCTCACTGCTATCCATGGCTCTTTCCTGTCAGAGTGAGAGGTATTTAGGGACCTCAAAATTTTATTCACATGGAGAAATATCAGCTTCCCCACCAGATAAAACATACATCCCAAGTTTAAATATCTCCTGCAACATGCACTGCTACAGGTTCTTCAACATGATATGAGTCATACAGCAGCATGATCTGTGACATTTGAATTGCCATGCATGATATATTTCAAATCAGACACTCCCATTTGTGATGGCATGACTAGAAATACACTTATATGGACAAAAGTATTGGGACACCTACAGTTTTTATGACATTCCATTCTAAATCCACAGGCATCAATTTGGAGTTAGTCCCTTTTTTGCAGTTATAACAGCTTCCACTCTTCTGGGAAGCTTTCTACAAGATTTTGAAGTGTGTCTGTGGAACTTTTTGCCCATTCATTCAGAAGAGCATTTGTGAGGTCAGACATTTCGTGTTGGACGAGAGGGCCTGGCCCACATTCTCTGTTCTAGTTCATCCCAAAGGTGTTTAATGGGGTTGAAGTCAGGGCTCTGTGTGGCCCAGTCAAGTTCTTCCACACCAAATTCACCCAACCATGCCTTTATGGACCTTTCTTTGTGCTTTGCTTTGCATTAAGATTGACCTCACTGGAACTAAGGGGTCTAAGGCCAACTCCTGAAGAACAACCCCACAGTATTATCCCTTCTCCACCAAACTTTACATTTGGCACAATGCAGTCAGGCAGGTAACGTTCTTTTGGCATTCGCCAAATCCAGACTCATCCAAAAAGAAAGCATGGATTGGCACTTCACAGAATATGTTTCCACTGCTCCAGAGTCTAGTGGCGATGTGCTTTAAATCACTTCATTCGACGCCTGCCATTGTACTTGGTAATGTAAGGCTTGCATGCAGCTGCTTGGCCATGGAAACCCATGCTACAAAGCTCCCAGTGCACAGTTTTTTCGATTATGTTAATGCCAGAGGAGGTTTGGAACTCAGCAGAGCACTGGTGACTTTTATGCACTAGGCACCTCAGCACTCAGCGATCCCGCTCTGTACCTTTATGTGGTCTGTCACTTCATGGCTGAGTTGACGTGGTTCCTGAACACTTCCACTTTTCAATAATGCCACTCACAGTTGATTGCAGAATATATAGGGGGGAAGAAATTTCGCATACTGAGTTGTTGCAATGGTTACAGTAGCATGGTCAAATTCAGTGAGCTCTTTAGAACAACCCATTCTTTCACAATTGTTTGTGAAGGCAGACTGCATGGCTAGGTGCTTGATTTTTGTTGGGATTGAATGAAACACCTGAATTCAATGATTAAGAGATATGTCCCAATATTTTTGTCCATATTGTGTATATTAAATACCTAGCAAGCCAGTATAGAGTATACTGATTTGCAACTTACCTCTTAAATTAGGTTGGCTAAGCCCATGTTTCCCAACACAAGTTCTGTCCCTCATTTTCAACAGCGGGTTTTGTATTTTCCTGGTGTACCACAACCGATTTAGCTCAAGAAGGACTTGAAAAATATCTGATGATATGACTCAGGCCCCATTCACACCTCGCACTAACATATGTCTTGGGTGATCCGATCATGAGTGGGCAGCGCAAAGTATAGATGTGATCTGATCACTCAAACCACCATCAGAGATAGTCAGGGACGCATTTGTAAATTGCAAATAACATTTGCAGTGTGAACACCAAAGCAGCTGAATGTGTCCATTAGAAGAAGCAAACAACAGCCTTAAACCACTGCATCATCGCACCAGAGACGACAGGAGCTACGTAGCTTCTTTCATTATCTCAATTATTGTTTATTATGAGTTAGGAGTCTAACCTAAGTAACACCAATATGGAAACTGTTGGCTGATGTCAATGTCTGATACGCCTCAAGTACATATCACTTCATGATATTTATTTGGATTGGCATTACAGATAAATATATATCTTATTTTTGTACGGTTACAAATGCAGAAAAATGAATTAAATGCAGCAATTTTAGCACAGCAGCCCAGCATCACCTAAATGTTCTGCTGGAGTAAATACATCATCAAATATCAGTTTAAAAAATCTGTCAGATCTAAATATCTGTCTGAAGCAGAGAGAATTTGTTAAGCAGCTATATGTAGTTACCGATATGATTCTGATATTAATTTAAACACTTAAAACAGTCCTTAAATGTACATAAAAAAAACTCAAAAAATGCGATCATAAGTGGTCACTGGAGACCCACTTGAGATCTATGGAAATGCCAGGTGTAAATGGCTATACATCTCAATGTCCATTTATGATATAAGCTATGAAAAGAGCCAGGTATGAACAGGATCAGGAAAAATACAAATATGCAGTACACATGGACTAGAGTTGAGAGATTTCACAATAAAGCACTGTGCAAAAATGCATCAGTCATAATCAACTCTAAAGCTGACTATAATTCTCACTAGCTCCAACAATTACTGTGTTGCTTCATAAAACACCCTCGAACAGTGCAATATCTACTCATGATCCACTCTGCTAGGAACACTGACGTTGACGAGTTTAAGAGTGCCACCAACCCTGCAAGTCCACAGTAAAGGCAAAACTACAGATTGTAGTCATGCAAAATTGGCCTCTGTTTGAGTTTCTGACCACAGGACCACTGCTGACCAGACATTATTTGGGTGGTGCATCATTCTGAGCACAGCAATGATACTGATGGTCGTGGCATGGTAGGGTGAGTGTGGTGTCTAGTCTCTACGCACTGGGTAGGTCATGACATAAAGGCAGCTCAGTTTACATGTTTTATAAGACTGAATCTAAAACCACCCCCTATTCCTTATATTGTGCACTACTTACTTTTGAAATAAAAGCCTCTCCATTCAAAGACTGCATAATTTTCACTACCACCACATCAGTGTTACTGCAGTGCTGAGAATGTTCCACCAACCAAATAATACCTGCTCTGTGGTGATCCTGACCATTGAAGGACATGGCAAAAGGGGGCTAACAAAGTATGCCAAGGAACAGAGTGAAGAAACACGGAGGTGGTTTTACTGTTATGGCTGGCCGGTGTATATGTAAAGTAACGACAAAGCTAATCTTAAATTGCTCCCTACTCCCTATATAGTGCACTTCGTAGATCATGTAATGAAATAATAAGGACTTCTACAACCAAACAGTGTCATTAGTGCATTATACGTAAAATAAAGATGTAGCTAAACCATCTGTTGAACCCTAATTACTCCCTACTGTATACGTAGGTGACCAAATAAGTCATGAAATAGTGACTTATACTTCCAAACAATACACTGTATGTACATTCGGGAGCCATTCGGGATTCAGCCTAAACTACCCCGCTAGCTAATTCAGTAGCAGGCGGCTAGCCAGGCAGCGCATCGCAGAGAATACGCTTCAGAAAAATGAACCACCACATTTGAACTCATCGTGGAGACATAATAGTAAAAATAAGGCTTTAAGTGCGACATGCTTACCTTCGCTTCCACCTCCGGCAGGATGACAGGGAGACAACACGCGCATGCGCAGGGAGCAGCTGTACGGTGCGCGAGAAGGCTCACGGGCCGTGGTGAGGTGTTCGTCAGCATTCTCGAAGCAGATACGCTTTTCTAGCCGTACGCTTTCCGTTCTAACGGCGGTCGAATACGCGATTCCTTCCTACGCTATTTCCGTACATGATTTCTTTTTACTCTCGCGGAACTTGACGGTAAGGTAGTGTTGCTAGGCAAAGCAGCTTTGAATTTGGTTCTTAAAATTGAATGAGCTGTAAGGAGCTGCAATAAAGTCACCATTAAACATAAGCTGGAGTGATATTGCTGGTGGACGGGACGTTTGGCAACATGGAGGATGATGCTCCAGTCATTTATGGCCTTGAGTTTCAGGTACAGTAGCTCTGTTTACCACCTTTGTCATTCGTGTACACACAAAATAAACGTGCGTTGTGTGACATCCATGCTTTTAAAAAGGTTACTTTCCATAAATATTCTGGTCTGCGTTGATAAAATCACATCTCAAGGGCAAAACAGAGCCGTGGTACATGTGTTAAGATAAACACCAGAGGTGGCTTTCTGTAGCCATGATCTATACATCTGTATTTACTAAAGGCAGAAAGCATCACAACATTGTCATAGGAGTATCTGCAGTTACTGTCACTGTCAGACATTGTCATTAAGGTGCATAGGGTTGTTGATATTTCTTCCTTTTAGTGTTTGTTATTGTGCACCATGTCTGTCCATTCTGTTCAGCAGCCTCACATCTTCATACATCTAATATGCCTCTTTTCCTCCTTGTGTTTTAGGCCCGTGCTTTGACTGCACAGACGGCTGAAACTGATGCTATAAGGTTTTTAGTGGGCACTCAGTCCCTCAAATTTGATAATCAGGTGAGCAAATACATTATCATGTTTGAAAAGAAAAAACAAGTCAGTCTTAAAATCATTTTGAAATTTTAGCCAGTCTGGACCAGGGCCATTTTGTGCATACAGTTCAGGCCTAGGACAAGACTTACAATGCTTCAGGTTTGGATGTAATTTTCCAGATATGTGTAGGTCTAGGGTTGGGTTTGTATTATCAGGAGAATGATATCTAGTGTAACGAAAAGGATGTTTATGTTCAAATTGTTTGACAACAATTTTTTGTATTATGTTTCAGTATATTACATATGTTCTATGTAAAGAAAAACAGCTATTAAACAGCTAAATGCTAACATCTTGCTATATCAGCACCGCTCAGTGAAATTTAACGTTTGGGTAGCGCTGTCGCCTCACAGCAAGAAGGGCATGGGTTCAAGTCCCCAGCAGGGCATCTAGGGTCCTTTCTGTGTGGAGTTTGCGTGTTCTCCCCGTGCCTGCATGGGTTTCCCTCTACAGTCCAAAGACATGCAGTCAGGCCAATTGCACACGCTAAAATGACCCTAGATGTGAATGTGTGTGTGTGTGTGTGTGTGTGTGTGTGTTTTTTTTGACTGTGTGTCTGCCTTGTGATGGACTGGTGACCTGTCCAGGGTGTTTCCTGCCTTCCACCCAATGACCCCTGGGCATAGGCTCCAGCACCCCCGTGACCTAGAAGGATAAGCAACTTAGATAATGTGTGTGTGTGTATGTGTGTGTGTGTGTATGTGTGTGTGTGTGTGTTTAAGGCCTAATAAAAACCCTGGATTAGACTGTCTTACTTATTGAATCTGAAAAAACTTTTTATAAGCAATTTGAAAAATGTAATAGAACATTATCACAGGTCTTTGTTCACTACGAGTCCACAGATCAGCTAGCCTCAGGCATCACCTTTCCCAGATGTCAAAAAAATAATAATTTTGCTAAATTATTAAGGATTTCCTGGTATTTGCTATATATTTATCGAACTACTTTAATGAATTAAGCTTTTCATACATTACTATACATTCATGGATGATTCTGTCACCCAACCCACAGGACTACAGGTTTAGAGTCAGCCTTTAGTTTCCTAGAGCTGCTGGGAGCTTTACATTAATGAGGAACTCGATGGTGCAGAAAATAGTATAGACCTATTGGTTCATTATACAAGCTTCCTTTTTTATTGTAACATTAGGCATTGCTGAAAGTGTGCTTTTCTTCTGTCAGCAGGAGACTTCCCCAGTAGCCTGATATTTGTTGAGTTGATGTATTGGAGTAACTATAAGGATGCTGTTATAAAAATCCTGGACTCACTCTATTCTCCCTCTGATCTGATCCCTGAATCCCTCTGCTTGAGTCCAGCACTTCCATCATATCTAGCCCCAGGTTCAGACAGCTGCCCTCTCAATCTCATTTACCTGCTAGTAGCAATTACAGCTCTCTAGAGGACCTGTTCATTTTTGAGGCTTTTGGAAAAGCCGAATAATACTAGCCTGAGGGTGAGTGTGTGGGTCTGTTTGCGCGTGTGCCTCCATGTATGTGTGCAAGATGGAGAAAAATAACTTTGTCAGGGCCCCTGTGTTGTGCAGATTGTCTCCTGGTGTTCTTGTGTTTCTTGCTTATTGCATTTTAATTCAGTGTTGTGAGTGCTGCATGGTTTCATGCAGTGAGTGTTCTGTCTTTCTTATTGTCTATTATTGACACAATTGACAGGATCAGAGTGCGCAAGCAGAAAAAGCTAAGATATGCTGCAGATTTAAGAGGGATTTAAGAGGATGCTCCTCATCATCTCAAACCTGGAGGTGAAATGCCCTGCAGCGTTTATTTGAATTTCTCAACTGCAGTCTGATCATTAAACTGGTCTACATGTCTACATACAACACACTTTCAGAATACTAGTCCTAATTTTTTAGCATTTGTTTAAGTTGGTTACTTTTTGGCCCAAATTATTTTCTGCTCATTAGAAAAGTAAAACCTTGGAACTTGGAAAATACAAATCAGGAATAACAATGTTTTTAAAGAGGAAAATAATGACACCATGTAGCATCTTCACATCTTCAGTGGTCAGTTTCTATCTGTTGCAAAGACACCGGAGCTCTGCATTTGTAATGTTAACAATAGTGAAACTGTAGCAGTTACATTTAAACATACAAAATAAATCGTATGCATCGTATGACTGCGTATTTAAATACTGTGTAATCTGTTTTACTCCTCAAAGCAGTAATGCAAGCCAATTTTTTTTCTTTTTATCTGTGAGTAGTGTTTTCTTCTTGAATTTCACATTTTTAGCCAGTATCTGCACAATTGTCTGTATAAGGGCTGCCCAAAGTGGGATCCACCAGAGTGGATATTTTATTTGGCCCACCAGAAAGTTACCCTAACCCCACTCCCTTACCCAATGAGATACATGAGAGAACAAGTATACTATGTATAACTTACTCTAAATTATTACTGTCATTTTAAAATTATATTTAATGTTTTAAAAAATTTAATTCATAACCTACTAACCATCTTTATTTGTATACTGTCTTTTTGGCCCTCTGTCCACTACTGTATTAACTGTACTTTTGTGAAAACCTTTGGGCACGTTCCAGCGGCCAGAAGAATTCTATCAGTTAATAATCTTATCGGTTACTATATCTTAGCATGATGATTCATCGCCTCTATTAGCCCGAAGCAGACAACCTCTCTCTCTACTCTTGCACCTGCACTTTTGGTTTTGGACTGGCTATAAGAATAATCACTTATGAGTTATTTCAGTTTGTTTATGCTGAACCCATGTTCATATGAGCATGAGGACGATAATTCAAATGTCTTTCAGTATTAGTTTTCTGAAGTTTTTTTGCTGCACTGTGAGGCTGTGAAGTGGGTTAGCTGATAACAAGGGCAACATGCACAGACACACACACACATTCCTTCTCCCGCTCGTACACGTTAGGTAGTTACACTCGTACACGGATTTATTTTATCGATCACCTGACTTCTTTTTTCCTGAACTCTTTTTCTCTTGCTTTTGTGGTTAAAATGTAAGAGGAAAAAAAAGCTACGTGGATGCTAAAAGGCTTGGCTGCTAACCAGCACTTTGCTTCATCTACGTCTTAAAAAGTAAAGAATAATAATAATAATAATAATAATAATAATAATAATAATAATTAAACCTGATGCATATTGAAACTAAATAATTCATATTTAATTAAATATTAAAGTCAAGATATCAGCAGATAATGAATCATGTCTCTAAACCCCAGAAAATACACACAAAATTCTCATAGTACTTAATTTTTTGAGAAAATTGTTTATTTTTATTTTTAATCTTTGAAATTTCTTCATAACAGACCGATTCTGCTGACCGTCAGAGTCTGATTCCGTGTTCATTTTGGAACACCAGCTTTTCATGATCCGGTCAGATCCTGAAGAATAAATCATGTCCTACCCACAGTGTTACATATCTCAGTATTCTCGTAGAAATACATCACTCTAAGGAAGAAAAAGCTTTCTGAGTTCTGATTCATGTTAAATTTTAATGTCAAATTTGAATTGAAAGCTTAGAATCTGCACTTTGGACAGAATCTTTCCACTTGTTTCAGTCAGCTTTGAGTGAGAACAGGGTGAAAGCGTACACAGAAACTTAAGTGAAAATATGAGTACTTTGTCAAAATCTTACTCAATTAAAAGTGGAACTATGGATCCGAAAATATACTTGAGTTGAAGTAAAAAAGGATCAACGTTTAAACAATATTTAGTTATATCAAAGTAAAAAAGTAAATGTTTTAACAAATAAATTAAACGTTTTTTTTTGTTTGGTGGCGTGAGGTGCTGTGACCTCGAATTATCATAATCATGAGCAATATCATTTTACAGTAATATGTATTGAGTTGATTGTTTTTAATAAAAACAATATGTTCAAATACACAAGAACTCAAGTGATTGACAAGAGGAAAACTTTCCTGGCATTTAAGAATTGCAATGAGCAGTTTAAAGGTCTAAATGTAAGGAGTAGAAAGTATGCAAGTATGTAAGGAGTAGAAAGTATGAGTACAAGCAATCGGTTTCTCGGGTAAAGTGAAAATCAAAAAAAAAATCCTAAGTATAGTAACAAAGTATAAATACAAAACAAGTATTTTCCAATCCAACATAATTCAACAAAATGCTGTGAAAGCATTGTTTCAAGACATATATGACACAGGGACCTTAGGACAGTTGAATGGCTTCAGTTGTGGTCAAGCCATCAGAACAAACAACCACACTGAGGTGACTGCACAGTCCAGCAGGAACTCAATACATCAAGCTGCATGGCTTGTCTATAGTGCTGAATCAGGTCCTACTCACTTGTGTAGTGTGAAATGCTTAATATTACACAACCATCCTTGACCACTGCTTGTTGTTTTGGCTTGTTTCCTTGATCAGGTGCTGTCAGTATGTTAACTCCTCTCCAAACCAGGTCAATTACAAGCCCTCGGTTTTATCATAATGTCTGCCGGCCTCCTGTGCTATTAGTGCCCCTAATGGGGGCTCGGAGAACTAATTCCACCCTCCATCTCCAGTGATGGCCACTCAAGCCTTTGTGAGTGCTGCTTATTGAAGGTTGTCATTAAAGTGGCCTGTGTTGGTCATTACAGTTGAACTGATGATTGAACTGCTCTCCCCTGCACCTCACTCTACTGCACTGTACAGAGTCATGCTTACTGCCATCCTCTGCTCTAAAGAGCTCTGACTGAGGGCACCCAAAGTGGAGGCCAACATTTTGTCCCATTTTACACCTGAGCCTCTCCCCCTACTCAGATAATTAATATGGTGGAGAAGGAGGCCCAAGTGGCCAAGAGCGATGACTCACTGCATCTCTGGGATAAAGCTGTATAAATCACGAGTGGGACTTCTGCCTGAGCCCTGTTCATCCCCGGCCCTATTATAAGACCTTCTTTTGCCTCCAATTATCCTGTCCAGCCATCGGAATTTATTTGTATTGCTCCCCTCCATAAAATTATAACTTTGCCTAATAATTTTCCCTCAATGCGGTCCAACCCAAGGTTAATGGTTTCCTCTCCGACTTTCAGCTGTCTGAGCAGCATGAGCGCTCTCAAGAACGCATGCTTTCTCCTCTCTCTCTTTCTCTCTCTCTCTCTCTCTCTCTCTCTCTCTCTCTCTCTCTCTCTCTCTCTCTCTCTCTCTCTCTCTCACACACTGTACACACACTGTACACACATTAAAGTGGTCAGCCAGATTGCCTTGTGGGCTATTTTCAGGTACAGCCAATTAAAATTCCATCAAAAGAATTGCATCCCCCACCAGAATGTGTTGCTTCTGTTCATTTCATGATTGCTGCTTGGTACTCCACACGTCCAAAGAATGCGTACAGGATAACCCTAAATCATCAGACAATTGGCAACAATTGTATTTTTTCACAACATTTAAATAAGGCACTTTAGATTGTATAAGCACTTAATGATGAATCACAGGGTAAGTAGAAGTGGTCCTAAAATGAGGATGAATCATTAGAGAACATTTTCATTCTCCTATAAAGTTACCATTTCAGAGACACTGAAGTTTATTATAATTTCTTTTGTTTAGTTTAGTTTTGTTAAGTTGTTTGTTATTTTAGTATAGATTGTTTTGTGTGTGTATCCTGCCTTCCGCCCAATGACAGCTGGGATAGGTGTGTGTATATATATATATATATATATATATATATATATATATATATATATATATATATACACACACACACACACACACACACACGCTTACTGGCCACTTTATTAGCTTCATCTACCCTGTATCTACACTCATTGTCCACTTTATTAGGTCCACTTACTGTATTCAGTCATATGCAAAAGTTGAGCCGCACTTGTACTTTTTTATGCACAATTATTTTTTATTTACTGAATTTAAAACATTGGGGGGAAAATGAAGTGTAAAATGTGGCCTGTGCAAAAGTTATTGCTTGTTTTAAAATGCCACATGTAAGTGTGTTTTCTGTAGAGGATGTGTAACTTATTTTCACTTAGAAAATCAACTAAACATGTAATTTCACCAGGGGTGTTCCAACTTTTGCATATGACTAAGTGCACTTTGTATTTCTGCAATTACAGGCCATAGTCCATCTGTTTCTCTCACCTTTCCCCCGTTCATCAGTGGTCCCCACAGGACCACCACAGAGCAGGTATTACTTGGGTTGAGGATCACTCTCAGCTCTGCAATGACACTGCCATTGTAGTGACATGTTAGTGTATGCATGCTGCACAAAGGTGGTTTTTAAACAACTCTGTGTCACCACTGGACTAAGAGTAGTCCACCAACTAAAATATTCAGCCTGCAGCATCCTGTGGGTAGAAACTGAACACTGATGAAGGATTAGAGAATGATTAACACACATTGTGCAGCAAGACATGATCTATCGTCTCTAACATCTACAAGGTGGGCCAACGAGGTATGTGTGTCTAAGAGTAGACGGTGAGAGGACACAGTGTTTAAAAACTCCAGCAGCACTGCTGTCTGGTCCACTCATGCAGAAACAACACGTACTAACACACCACTGCCACGTCAGTGTCACTGCAGTTTTGAGAATGATCCACCACCCAAATGATACCTGCTCTGTAGTGGTCCTGTGGGGGTCCTGACCATTAATGAGTGGGGTACTGTTTTCCCTGCTCTTAAAGAAGAATTCCCTCAGTGTTTCAAAATTTCTACATAATGTAATGGTAAAGATATAAACATAGTCGTACAAAGTGGTTTGAGGTGAAATGTGCCATTCTGGAGAAACTTAGTGATCTAAAATTGTTCACAGTGGTAGTGACAGGAAAGATTTTATAATTTTATTTTATTTATTTATTTATTTTTTGTTGTTTTGTTTTGTTTTGTTTCTTGTTTTTTCATCTATTCCTCGCACAGGGGTATGTTCATGGCATTGTAAGGGATATAGTTCCCTATAAGGAAATAGTTCCCCAAGAAACAGATTTTCCAGATTTGTTGCTATTTTGTCATTATCAACATTTCATATCCATCTCATGCTGCGTTCGGGTGCTCTTTGGAAGGTTGTATATACCGGATGGTTAACTAGTAAATATGACTTCACTCCATTCAGGTGCTTCTTCATAGATACACCCACTACACAGAGAAAGAAAGCATGAACGTCCAGAGAAAACATATCAAGCTTTTTCTTTGCTGTATTAAGAAGCACATAGATCTAATAGAAGTGCATCAGGTATATATTTGTTACATTATTTGCAAGTTTGACATTTTTCACTTGTGTAAAAGCTTTAAAGTTGTGTTATACGTCACATCTTGTAAGCTTGTGTGTCATCTAGGATTCCGAGTTTACCTGTTGTAAATGTGAATTTCTCAGCCGTTAGAGCGCAATTTACAGGTGGGAAAATGGTCATTTCCAGTTTCCAACACCACTCGAACGCAACATTATAAGACATGTGTAGCTATACTTGTGGTTAGATAAGAAATAAAACGGCTATATTTAAAATCAGTAATATTTTTTTCCACATCAAATCGCTCTGATTTTCAATAACTGCATTATGTGGCAATTCTAAAATTTCAAAGGAGTTCCCCTTTAATACGTATAAAGTGTTCAAGTATGAGCTGATGAGTTGAATGGTGCCATAAAGCAAGGATATTCAGATTAGCCTGGCTATAAGGATATATTTTACCTACAATGAGAAAGGTCCAATGTATGAAGAGCAGATCTAATTCAAAGGAATGTAATTTTTCTGTCCACACTACTGCAGATAGTTTGCACATTATTTGAAATAAGCTAAATTACAACACTTTGAGACATACTGTGGTGAATAAAGAGACATTTGGCTTTGAAAAGTTTGCCACGTTTTCCCTTTTGCCTGTTCCCTTTTAATAAAAGCCTCAGTATTTTATATGTGTGTCTGTATAACGTGCAGTATGTGACCTGCTACTTTTCAAATGTTTCTATAGAGGCCTGAGCAGTAATTCAGTTTACTTTACTAAGGAGAGAATAGCTTTGCTAACCAGGTTACAGAGTGAAACTGATGATGAAGAGAAAAAACAAAAAAAAACTTTAATCTCTGTTCTGCAACTGCGCACTCCTCTGCCTCCACAAACGTCTGATGCTTTGCATAACTTTTATGAATCTAACGAGTTCAAAAGGAGTGTTTAACAGCGGCTTCAAAGTTGAAATAAAAAGCTGATAAAAAGCTGAAGACATAAGCATCAGGGCGTATGAAGTTGAAAATCCAAAGTGATTTCTGTGCCTAAGATTTAATTTACTGTCATATTAAAGCAAATATCTGAGAGTGAAGTCTTGGCTCTTTGAACTGCTCCTGAGTTGAAATAAGGGGGCAGTACCCGGGTATCTCTCTCTCTCTCTCTCTCTGTATCTCTCTGTATCTCTCTCCTAATTTCTCTATGTTTACTTCAGCCTTGTCCTCTGTTCCATTTGCCTTTTTTCTATTCTGCAGATCCACATCATTGACTTTGATGATGAGAACAATATCATTAATAAGAATGTGCTCCTGCATCATGCTGGTGAGATATGGCACATCAGCGCCAGCCCTGCTGACAAAGGAGTGCTGACCACATGCTATAACAAGAGTGAGTCCTTCTCTCTGCCCTTTTGTGTGTCTGTCTGTCTGTCTTTATCATGTTTTTTATTACTGTTTATTATACATCTATCCTTAGCTATTTCAGTTTAATTACATTCAGTGTAGTTACTAGCAGTTTTGAAGTACCACTGAGTTTACTGGAGATGTAAATGTAGACTATACTATCGTAAACCATTTTTTGTTCGTTATAAGTAGCCAGATTAAACCAGCTCACCAAGTTCTATTAGTTTTCTTTGGCAAGATGCAGCAACTCCATAAAGCTAAAGTTTGGTGGAAAACCATTCAAAATTTCCCCTTATCACACATGTCTGATGTTTGCTTCTTTAGTTCTGCACTGAAGCTATGGGGCTAATATTGTTAATAAGTAAAGGGAGCTTATAGCTATTAGTTATCCACACTAACCTATAACCACACACTTACCTCAATCTCAACTTACGTGGTTTCCGACCATGTGACATACTGTTATCTATGAAATGGACACGTGTACGGGCAAAATCAGGCTTTAAGATGCCTGCTTTTATTGTTGGCATGCATGACACAGATGTAAAGTAATTAAGTAATTACTTACTTAATCAGTGTAAGGAAGTAAGTATTTACATTAAGTAAGTAAGGTGAGTAAGAAAAGTATGAAAGTAAGTAACAGAGCAACAAAATGCACAGAAAGGAAAATAAGGTACATAAAGTGCAGAAAGATGAATGTACAGTGAAGGGAAACAAATATTCAGACACTTGATTTTGTTATTTTGTTATATCTAATTCAAATTTACACACAATTTCTTTTGACTTTTTCTTATAAATAAACAAAAGAGCGTGTATTCATTGGCACGAAATAAAGATTTAAAGGTTAAAAAATCTAAATGGATATGGAAAACACACTATTACATTTTAGACAACATAATAAAATATACATATATGTAAAGCTTAAAAATAAAAGTTCTGAAAGACTTGCAAGACAACTTGAAAGAAGCAGGAGCAACAGTTACACAGAAAACAATAAGCAATGAATTGCACCACCATCATCTCAGTTCCTATGCCTCCCAAAACACATCTGTAGAAAAAGAAGCACAGAGATATGAGTCCTGTGTGCATAAGAATTTAGACAAATCAGAACTGTTTTGGAACAATGTTCTCTGGTCAGACAAAACAAAAATAGAACTCTTTGGCAGTAATTCAGCTCAGTATGTCTGGAGAAAGAATAATCCCAAGAACACCATAAAAACAGTGAAGTATGGAGGTGGAAGCATCATGATATGGGGCTGCTTCTTTGCAATCAGTACTGGAGCTTGACACGCCAAAGAAGAAAACAAGAATGGAACAATGTACCAGGAGATATCAGAGGAAAATTCAATCCCATCATCCATGAAAGGGAAGAAGATGTAAATTTCCACAAGACAACCCCTGCATACGTACAGCCAAAATAACTAAAGACTGGTTTCTGAAAAAGGTGAAGGTGCTTACATGGTAGTCTCTTGAACTAAATGCCTTTGAAAATGAATGGAGGATTTTGAAATTGCATGTCCAGCAGAGGGACCCCTATAACCCCGGGGAGTTTGAAACAGTTTGACAAGAGGAATGGGTCAAAATTGAACCACAGTGCTAATTATTTAACATAGACATCTCAAATCTGTAACTACAAATCAAATTTGCAAAGTACTAATGAATGTGTGGTATCTGAATCATTTTTTCCCCCTATCAATTCCATTTTTTAAATTTATCTTTGAGTATGCATTTTTTATTCAGATTTATAAGTACAACGTCAAAAGACATTGTGTATGAATTTAAATTGGATATGTACAGTAGAAGTGTGTTTAAAAAAAAAAAAGTGTCTGAATACTTATTTCCCCTCACATAAGGTGGAGATATGTACAGTATCAAAAGAGAGCATTTACGCAATTAACATTGGATATGTGCAGCAGTGAGCTGAAAGTATGGTATTAATGACATGAAATAATAAAATTAGCTTAAATTGTCAACCACATTAACATCATAGCTTTGGTGCAAAACTGAAGAAGCAAACGTCAGACAACAAACATGTCTTAAAGGGTTGACATTTGGACTAAGGGGAAAGTTACATAAAAAGAGCTTTTTCTGAATTATCGCTTTAATATCTTTTAACTAGATCATGGTTCTGATTCATTGATTAACAAAGTTATGCTTTTATTCACACAGGCTTAGTGAGATCCAATCTTAGCCAGATGATGATAGCTTTGATTGAGGGCAGTGTGCGAATGTGGCCACCAGGATTACTCAGAGACAGATTTCAGTTTGCGTCTAAAATCACAGACATCAAAACAAACACAGAAGGAGAAGGTATCAATGCCTTCACTAAAGCAGGAGTCCACTCCTAGTCTTCCCGATTCGTGTTGCACTGGCGGCAGTGGTAATGGAACATGTCACATTCTGGCACTCCCAGCTCTGCGCTCTCGCCACAAGGCAATTAAAAAATTAAACGAACACGAAGAAACGATTGGAAGGGAAAAATGTAATTAAATCCTGAGTTTATATGACTGGCGCCTGTGGCCTTGACTGGTTTATGACAATCTGAATAATAGGGAGCGTCTCTCTTTCTGAAAAGAGCGAGTGAAAACAGGGATTCGAGTTTTTTTTTTTTTCCTCACTTCCCTCCCCATCTCGATTGTAATGAGGCCGATGCACAAGTTGTCATAGCAGAGTTCAAAAGAAGAATGTAATTACCGTGACATTCAATCTAATGGAGCAGCCTGAGTCAAAAGCGGAAAGGGGAGCGGCTGTGGCCTCACGTCACCCCCACTACTCTCTCTGCCATGCTCACACTCTGCTATCTGATCAGAGAACAGCTCGGGCCCTGCCGTCACACTCTCACTGCAACATGCTCAGTTTAGCAGCTGCTTTAGAGTAAAAAGTTCTTAAAGGGAAATTCGACTGATTTTTCAAAATCTCTGCCTAAATAAATGGTTAGGATGTAAACACAGTTACAGTGTGGTTTAATGTAAAATGTTCTGTTCTAGAGAAACTTACTGGGTCAGAATTGTTCACAGTCTTGGTGATGGGAACCAGACATCCAAAGAGTTTAATGCCTCTAAAAGCTCCCTCAGTGAAAGTTATTTTATGAAACGGATACGTTGCCTGATGCCCAAGACACTGTTTTATGATTTTATGCATTCTAAGGCAAAATCTCCAAAGAAAACATATTTTTTGGTTTGACCACAATTTTATCATTGTCAACACTACATATAAAAACTCAGAAGGCACATGTAGGTTCACTGGTGACTTTGGAGAGGAAGTAAAATGGCTATTTTTGCATTGTAGACATCACAACCCCTGGTTCCTATTTACCACCACCGTTAAAAAAAAATTAAATCAACTACACTACCAGCAGTACCAGTGGTCTTCATGTTAGTAGTCTCTTGTACTGCAACATGGCAAAAGTATAACATCATGACACACAAAAGACCACTGAATGTTGTGTCATCATTCTGTGGTCATCGATAATCGCAGCCATTAAGCCCTGTAGTACACTATATAGTTCCAAAGACAATACATTTCGTCCTATGTATGTTTTTTTTTCCTGAACGTCACCCGATCCTCTGATAGCAAAGTCATTAAGAGGTCGAAATATGAATTTTGCTACATGCAAGCTAACACTACTGTGCACTGAATTGACACCATAAGACTGACAATGTCACCAAAATACTCCACACGAACTAGCAAGCTTTGTGAAGTGTTGTAGTTAAGTTGCTTTGGCAGCAATAAAGTATAATTGAGTAGTTGATGTTATTACATAATAGTGTTGAAATTTAAGAGTAGACTTACTTACATGCAACGTCATTTCAGTGTGCAGGAGTGCTGGCCTGCTATTGGCTCGGATGTAGCTGTTCATATTTTGGCTCCTTATCAAGCTTGGAATTGACAGGATCCTGTGTACATAATGTACATTAAACTCTATAATTAGTCTAAATCTGTCTTTTTTAGAGATGCATACAGATGTTCAGTGTTCTAAAAGTGCTGATGATGCCCACGATACACTTAGAAAAGCATATGGGCCATAATGTATCAATTACAATAATATATCGTGAATTTGCCCACCCCTCTGTGTAATTCTAAATAGTACTAATACTTTTGATTTAAATGTGAATTCTTGTTAAAGTATGTTAAACAATATGCACATAAAGTAACTGTAAGTGCTCCAGTGGTTAATTTCTGGCAGTGCTTAGAAACTTGTTAATGTAATGTACAGCCACTGCAGTATTGCATGGCTGTTTAGCACAACTATGCTGTGTTTTTTAATGAGAGTTTTCGGGAGCTCCTTGCAGTTAATTGCACAGATGATTGAGAAGCCATGCAGTAGACTTTGCTGATTGATTGCGATTCATTTAGCTGAAATTTGTTATGCTATGATGGTTAAAGTTTGCTCTTACTCTACAACTGAGAAAAGTACATGCAGTTTTAACTAGCAGTAGCAGCTGAAGTCTTCATGTTTTAGCAGCACTGTTATACTTGCAAAAGCAGCAATTAAGTTTGAGGAGTAGTGTAAACTTGAAACTTTATCACAGTATGTTATATGGTGTGCACATAAAGTAGGGGTGGGTAATATGACAACATACTGCAATACATTACGTTGCACAGTATGCGTGTACGAGCATATTGTGGAATTTGCCGGATCACTGAACAGCTGCATATTTTTTTTTATTAGTAGTGATGCACCAATGAAAATCCTTGGCCAAGATCACCGATTCAAGACACTGAGCCGAAACCTGCAAAACAGTGCATCATTTATCGTGGATGAGTCCCAAATTACTATTTCTTAGCTATGTTTTGCAGCATTGGGCTGCAGGATCCAGTATTTAAATTCCTACATAGTGCACTATGAGGAAGCAGGGAGCCATTCGAGATTCAGCCCCAGCACGAGAAGACGGGCGCCGCTGGATTGGTGCTAAATAAGACTTGTGGAGGTTGTTTGGTGACCAAAAAGTACTTATAAACCGAAATTCTTTGCATTAAACAGTGCTGTTATCAAATGTTCACTGTTAAATGACAAAATATCGTGAAACGACCAGAATATACAGCGATGAGCGACCAACCGTTCTCATCATTCAGCAGTCTGTGGTTGCTTGGCAACGTTACCGCACTCTAAAGAACTACATTTTTTGGTGGAATACTTGTTTATGTTGATCATTAATTATAATAACAATTCTTTTCTGAAAAATGTGTATTTTATCATATTTTATGTTGGCATAAAATAAAAGCAGTAAGCCGCTTAAGGCTGTGTGTGCGATTTTGTCACAGGGAATAAAATGATAAAATCTCAGTAATGCATGGCCCCTCATAGCTTATTGCTTTATTATTCTTTGCACTCTGGCACTGTTGTTTGTGATATTTATTTATAAACTAGAATTTGGTGCTTTTTTTGTTGCTCTGTTTAATCTCTGCTACTTTCAATCAAAATGTTTGGCCTTGTTTCTCTTTCGAGTAATTTCTTTGTCCATTTCAGGCCAAAAATTTGGGGCATCCATAATTAGCCCTGTTTAACTGGATTTAGAACAATAGAGTATGTGAAACGTTGAATAAAAATCATTATATTCATACTGTTTCATATTTTTGCCAAATTACCAACTCCTGGGTCAGTATCTGCCAGTGCTTAGTGGGACAGGAGCTGGTAAATGTAATGTAATGGCACTGGAGTATGACAAGACTGTGTTCAAATCATATTCTGTGTTAATGAGGGTTTTTGGAAGCTCACCAGACTGTAGACTTTGGTAATTGACTTTTTCATTTAGGCAAAATTTGTTATTTTCCAAGCTTTGATGAAAATTGCCAACTTGGCTTGCTATACAACCAAGAAAAGCACACGCAGGTAGAGTTTTTTAAATTTATTTATTTTTTTCTCTATTAATAGTAAAAGCAGTCATCAGGTTAGCAGCATGGTTACACGTGTAAAAGTAGCAATAAAACATGGAGGAGTAATGCAAACATGAAACTTTTACAGTGTAATATGTGGTATGCACATGCAATGCTATTGTAGTATCACATGACTATAAAGTTCAGATCATACAGTACATTAAAGAAGGACCTCGACAGGCTGCATACTTGGCTAACTGATTGCATTTAGCAAAAAAATGGTTGAAGCTCACTCTTATTATAGTAATGAGAAATGTGCAAGTACAGTACAGATGGTTTTATCTGCATATACTTTTGTCATAGTATTAGCATTACTGGACAACAGTTAGTTGTTTGTTGATTTCAGGATGAAATGTTTCCACAGAGCTGCTTGTGTGGTTCTGTTAGATGTCTAGTGAGAGTGGCAGTAGAGACAGTGTGTGTGCACGTGGCGGAGCAGACCTCTAGAGGCAGCATGCGCTAGAGAGAAAGAGAGAGAGAGACGCACATTCATCATTATTCTGACCCGTGTATATGAACTGAGAGGAGACCACCCAAAATAAGAGTGACTTGTTACTCTAAGCAACCATACAGTATTTGCAGTATGCATGTTCTCCGTTCATGTTTAAATCCAGAACATATGAAGTAGTACCCATTCAGTTATGGCAGCATGATACATGACATGATAGAGTATGCTATGCAAAAGTTTGGAATCGCTTGTTGTATTGATATTGCTATTCAATGATAACATAAACTTATATAGATGGTACCAATCTGATATGAGAATCAGGTCAGTATCAGCAGAAAATGCTGATACATGATCCAATCCTGTAACAAATCTGTCCTGAGATAGCACTCACTCACACTGGCCTTTACTCATCAGAGTTTCATAAGATCAAATCTGATTGTAAAATGAGTTCACACAGGTTTCATTTATCAATTTCGTCTTTGGTTTGTCTGTATGATCAAACTCATCTGGTAGGAGTTCATGTAAATTCAAGCTCAATAATTTATCAACCTGAAAAAAATTATTTGAATTGTGGTTAACTCACCAAAACCATTATCAATATTGATAATACCAATAATAAGAATGAAAATAGAACATAACAATAACACTACTAACACATGGTAATCCAGTACAAAAGTGGATGTACTTATTTTACATGCACATTACATGTACATGCTGCAACTATTCAATGTTCCATTTAAAGATGTTACCCTGTGCTTTTGTGTAACAATTGAAAACAATACACAGAATATAGGAAAACAAAAGAAGCAGAAAGGAAAGTTGGAAGTATCATGCTGATGCCATCTGTAGCCTCATTGTTTAAAATGCTGAAAAATTTACAAACTACAGTGCCAGAGTGCAAAGTATAACTGCAAAATAAAAGAGATTCATTGCCTTGGATGACAAACTGTTCTCTGTTGTTAAGGATGTTGGATTTTGGTGCATCCTGCTACTGTTTTTATTTATTGATAGCTTTTTTTTGGGTTTCAGTTTTTGTCCACCTGGGTCCTGAGTTCTGTTTTTGGCCACAGATTTTTATTTTTGTGCATCACTAATTTTGATGACTATTCAAGTAATCAGAGTTTATAAAAAGGCAAAACAATAAAAATGGACAGTACTGCACAATGTCAATCCATGCAGAGCCTTATAAAGATTCTTAAACACTTTATTTGCAAAAAGACTTAAAAAATGTAAAAACATTATGGGATCAAATGTTCATATAAATGGATCTGTCCATCAAGCTCTGCTTCTTAATAAAGAGCAGTAGGAGAATTTTAAATATGCATTATCATAATGCAAATTTCCCACGTAAGCATTGCTGATTCATTGAAGGGGGGGATTTTAATTGCTAATTTTTCACCTTCCTATTATTTGGAAATTTACTAACATCTGTTATCCTTGAGGTCAATTTGACCCCAGCAGTTTATACTTCCAGAAGTTTATACTTGTGGGATTTATGTTTCCCTCTCCCCCATGCCGTGTGAACTATCAGTGGTTCTCGCACTACCACAGGTGTTAGGTTAGTCCACTAAAGCAGAGGGCAGTTTTCTGAAGATCATAAAATTGCAAGTTATAATGACCTCAGTATCATCCAAAACCAAAACACGTGTGTAAAATGTTGGTTTCTTCTGTTTTGTACAGCTAAAACAGCCTGGGGTCAAACTGACCCTAAAGAACACTGATGCATACAAAATGTGTACAGGATGCTGAAAACATATCATGTTCATTTTATGTTTACCTTGTTATCCCCATTAAAACAGGAAAAGTCATTAAATATGAAGCAAATGATATCAATCATTTATTTATAGACATCAAACATTGAATGGGGTCAAACTGACCCCAAAGATAACAGGAGGGCTAACCGCTATTGAGTTTAATCAAGTAATCGTGGCAGCCCTAGTTTAATCAGTTTACTCCTACCGTACATGCGGATGCAGTGTGTGTGCTACACTATGTCTCTCCTGTCCTCACACCAACTGAGCTGCTGTTTAAATGCATCCATCTGCTGGTGTGAGGGGGAGACTGTGTGTGGGTGCATGCTGATGTGAGATTCTGACCGTGTGTTCTCTCTCTTTCTGTGTGTGTGTGTGTGTGTGTGTGTGTGTGTGTGTGTGTGTGTGTCCCGTTGGCCAGCCTCAGAGAGTCGTGTGCTAACTTGTGCAGCGGTGTGGAGGATGCCCCCGGAATGGGAATCAGGCAGCCACGAATCCCCCGACGATTCATCAAACAGCCCACAGACCCTGGAGCTCCTCTGTCACCTTGACAACACAGCCCACGGCAACACGGCCTGGTACTGCACACGCTATCGATTTAACCCTACAGCTGCCTCCTCTCCTCTGCTCTCTTCTTCTCCTCTGCTAGTGCTTTACCTCTCCTCTCTTCTTCTCTCCTCTGCCCTCTTCTCCTCTCCTCTTCTCTCCTTCTACTGCTCTGCCTCTCCTCTATTCTTCTCTCCTCTCCTCACTTCTCCTCTCGTCTTCTTTGCTTCTACTGCTCTACCTCTCCTCCGTTCTTCTCTCCTCACATCTCCTCTCATCTTCTTTGCTTCTACTGTTCTACCTCTCCTCTACTCTCCTCATTACTTCTCTCGTCTTCTTTCCTTCTACTGTACTACCTCTCCTTTATTCTTCTCTTCACTACTCCTCTCGTCTTCTCTGCTTCTACTTCTCTACCTCTCCTCTATTCTTCTCTTCTCACCTCTCCTCTCGTCTTCTCTCCATCTACCGCTCTACCTGTCCTCTATTCTTCTCTTCTCACCTCTCCTCTCGTCTTCTCTTCTTCCACTGCTCGCCTCTCCTCTCCCTCTGTTATTCTACCTCTCCTTTCCTCTTCTCTCCTTCTACTGCTCTACTTCTCCTCTCTTCTCCTGCTAATTTGAGTTTTGCTGTTCATGGCCTCTCTCTCTCTCTCTCTCTCTCTCTCTCTCTCTCTCTCTCTCTCTTACTGTTACCATCTTTCTCTCTTTCTCCATTAAACTCTTTTCTGGTTCTGGTGTGAGTGTATTTGTTCTTTGGTACTCCCACCATTCCATTTCTCTTTATCTGTCATCCCTTTTTCCGTTTTATATACACTGAGCTGAAGAATAGTTGAATGGGCTTCTGCCATTGTTTCAGGAGCCGATTGCCTGACCCACATATTTCAGGGCTTAGCTCGTGCGCCTGCCTTTGTTTTAGCACCCTGCATTATATCATATGCCATAATTCATGAGAGAAGAATAAAAACTCACTTTTTGTTTTTTTTTTTTTTTTTTTAAGTATTTGCTGAATGACAGTCTCCTACCATCTCCCACTGGAGAGTACAATTTGATGGAGCTTGCACACTCTAATAGAATTTCCATTATCCCTCATAATAAAAGAGGCCCTATGTTTCAAAGCTCTGGTTTCAGTTGAAAAACAATGAATTCAAATCTCCTCTGCTCCATTGTCCTGCCAGTTGAAGAGCTTGTGTGGAGATGGGCATATTTTAGTACTAGTCTAGATTCCATGCTCTCAGGTTGAAAGTTCAGGAAGGACCTCCCTCTTTCAGTAAGTGTTTTACGCACCGAACTGCTGCAGTCATCATTTTGAAGGATACACAAACTTGGTTTCACAGCTGTTTTACCAACACAAGGACACTTCTACTGTTCAAAAGTTAGAATCATTTGTCATATTAATACATTTTGTTATTATATATACATTGCATTTGTTATATTAACAAATGTTTCTGTTGTAAATATCTAAATATAATTTACTAGAAGTATTTTTAGATATTTTATTACATATTTCAAGTATTTTTGGAACAACAAGAAGTTATTAGATGGTAAATTATGTAATTTTGTCTATAATTACAAAGTTGTTGTTATTTACAGTTTTTTTTTGTAATCTGCAATCTGTAATAGCAAACCTTTGAACAGTAGTGTATGCGTTCAAATCAGGATGTCTGATGTGTTTGGGATGATGATCACTTATTTATGACAGCTGCAGGGTTTTTGCACATTGTGTCAACCCCGTACCTCTAAATAATATGAATATAATGATGTAAATGTAAATGCTCATGAGATACATTTAAAGGTATAAATTTAATTTTAAATGTTAAAAAGTGCTAAAGCTCAGTTTACAATCATGGATTTTTCACTTTCCACTTAAAAAATTTTCTCAAAGATTTTATGCAGATCACTTAACGTAAGGGAAAAACACTGAAGTCATATTTTATGCAAATGACCACTGGACCTTAATTTTTATACTCTCAATTTAAATCACAATCACAAACACAATATTGGTCACAATTACATATTTTCCCCAAATCGTTCAGCCCTATAACTAAGCCTTTATGACCTTCATACACCATAAGCAACTTTCTGGGTAGCACTTTATTTGGATGATCTGCTGCAGATGCTTTGCAGATGACTAGTTACATTCAACTAAATATCTGTTAGTGATATTTGAGGTCATGTTGAGGACTGTCCAAAAGAGATGTTTCTTACCCTTTTCCTATTGGTCAGACTTTGTGCTTACGTTATCTGGCTAACTGAGAACATCCTACTTTGTGAAGCACTCCCCTGCTTCTGTTTAGAGATGCCACAGATCCGATACCAGGTATCAGGCTGGGCCAATATTAGCAGAAAATGCTGGATGGGATAAGGGAAGGGAAACTTAACCTAACCTAAAATAGCACAGACTCACAGTGTGTGATGATGATAGCTGTGTAGTCCTTTCTGTGGGGTTAGTAGAGTGTTTGAATAGTTTGAGCATGATGGCCTACTTTTAGATGCCCATTTTAAGTGAGAGGCTACAATTTAAAAGAGCTCATTATAAAGCTTTGTAGCTTTTAAAGCAAAAATATCAGATTAATATCGATGTCAGCAGATTTCTGTCAGGTTTCTGTGATGGTATCGGTAATCTTGTGATGGTATCGGTAAGCTTAATCCAACCCTGTTGAGAATCTAGTAGTTATTTATTGATGGTTTGACTTGATTTTTAAAATTATTTTCTTAATAATTGAGCATGTGTAGAACATTTGCAGAGGACAGTCCAAATAAAGTGGTGCAGTCTGATGTGAGATCAGATGGTAAACATCACAGACCAGTGGTGACTCTGGCAGAAGGCATGGCCGCTCTGTATTTGTGTGAGCAGATGTGCACAACATAGAGGGCATCTCGAGCATAATCATCTCCTTTCTTGGTTTGAGAGTGAAATCATATGATGAAGAACATCCTTACATGGCAGAGATGTCCATTTCCCTGATGATCTCTCTCAAAAAATCAAGCTGCAGTATAGAGGGGCTGGCTGATTTTATTGGTGAGTGTGGCTGTTATCAGTTATTGGCAATGTGTTCTCTCATCTGAATTAGGACTGTGTGTGTGTGTGTGTGTGTGTGTGTGGAGGTTGTACACTCTCCTCTTGGCAGAGATTGCAGGGCCAGAGTGTTGGAGCCCTGGGGTGGAGATTGATGGTGCTGGTGTCGGCCTCCCTCTTACCTCAAGAGCTGTGAAAATCTCAAGGGCAGGAGTTGTGTGTGCGTGTATGATTGTGTGGATGAGCTTGTTTGTATGTACGCTCACACTTTAGCTCCGTTATAAAGGCTCTGTATGTGTGTGTATGTGTAAAAGTCTGTGTTTGATGAGGGGTTCGTACTGTGACTGCCCGCTTGATATTGGCTTTTTTTTAAGATGGATGGCCTTGCTTGCCTGCCCATCTTCTTGGTCTCTCTCAGGCAGTAACACTCGATCTCGGTCTGCCTGAGCATGCAGGCACATCCTTTTCTGTGACTGGAAGACTGTGGCACTCCACCCGCAGCCCCTTAAAGAACTGTAGTAATACTGCAGGGATGTCTACAGTGTTTCTGTAAGAATCTTATGTTAAATTCAGACAATTACTATAGATTAATATTGCATATAGCATACTGCGCAGTAAATTATTATAAGACTGTGCTACAGGAATGTTATAGGAGGTGGAAATATATATTATTGTAGTACTATTTTAGAGCACTGTTGAAATGCTGTAGTTTCATACAGGACTCAGAAATGAAATAAAAATGAATTGTTTTTTTTATACAGGCCGTACGTAGGCATGATATAATAAAATTGTTGGTTTGGAAAGCTTAGACTTGGCAGGAATATTTAAACAAATGGACATATTGTATATAAGGTACATTAATGTTATAGTGACAACAATGTTTAACGTTTCGCAGTGGGTAGCGCTGTCGCCACACAGCAAGAATGGCCTGGGTTCAATTCCCAGCCGGGCGATCAGGGTCATTTCTGTGTGGAGTTTGCCTGTTCTCCCCGTGTCTGTGTGGGTTTCCTCCGGGTACTCCGGTTTCCTCCCACAGTCCAAAAACATGCAGTCAGGCTGATTGGACATGCTAAATTGCCCCTAGGTGTGAGTCTGAAGAACTATTTTACCATGCAGAGAACCATTTAAGCATGCAAAAGGGGCTTTGAGTGCTCATGATTCTATATAGAATGACTGTCTTTACTAAAGAACCATCTTTTTAGGAACCTTGAAGAAATTTTTAAATAAAGATTTCAGCTCTTGCAATTTGAAAATTGCACTGTCTAATATTGCGATTTCGATATAAAAATGATTCATCTTTCAGCCCCAGTCAGATCTTGCCACTGTGCAGGGTGGCGTACAATGCAGGTTTACCGTGATAGTGTGAATGTAACTTTATGATATCAAATAGGCCTGGTTATCTAATTAGGTTTATGTTGAGACATCATTTAGTAAGCTTAGTTTACCCTGGTTCCCGAGGGAACCCTATTCAGATTAAATCTGTTTATCAGTGGGACATCTGTAATACATATTTTGCATGTCTCCTCAGTGATGAACTAACATCTGGACAGCAGTAAAATTACAGCAGTGCGAGAGAGTTTCAAGTGGGTTGTATTTTCTACAAACTCAGATGTTTGTGTCATGCAAGGTCATATGATAATAGAAAATTCAGAGTTGATTACATTGTGAATTTATAGTAATACAGTCCTTTAATCAGCCTAAGGAATCTGGCTTTTCTGATTGACTTTATTTTCTTTCTCCTCCTGCTAGTGCTCCTTCTCCAAGTGTAGAAAAAATAGAAATGAAGTTCCACCACTCAGACCGAGTAAATGGTTGAGAGACTCTTCCAAAGCATCCATCCATTTTGCAATTTGGGAACTGTGTGATATGGATCTGTGTGCTAGGAAACTAAATATGGCGAGAAGTAGTGGACAAAACCTTCTTTTCAGGGGTGAGGGAATGGTGCAACAACTTTGGAAATGTGTGGAAAACAATGTGCTTTTTTCTGGAGATTGCATTTAAAATATATTCACAGGAAATGCTGGCACACTGATTAAAGAACTGAAAGCTTGATTAAAATAATGGCGGATAGCAGCGATTACTAAGCAGTGATCAGAGGGTCAAGAAAATAAGGCGGGGCCCAGGGGTCAGTCATGGATGCATCAAGTCGTACTTATGATTTCCAAAGTCATATGTAAGAACTTCCGAAGAGGACTTGAAGGCAGCATAGTGTCGTATCACAAGATATCCTTGTGTGCTTACTGAAAGTTTATTTATACTATAGCACCTTTTTGATTGCCTGTCCCTACACATCATGCAAAAACAGTACATACCATTGGTTGTTTTGTATGTCAGTCAAATTGCCCCTTCCTTCCAAGTAGCCGGTTCCTTTCCACATTAAGCAACCTAACATCTCCACTCGCTAGTGGAGCCATGTTTTGGCCTTTGGTAAACTCTCTTTGTTCTCTTTTGGCAACCAAAAGCCACTATTTTAGCAAACACATCTATTTGAAGCATCTGTGAGTTGAACAGACAAAACAAAAGAACGGCACACGAGAATAAGCATTTCGTTGCGACCATTGGTTATTTTTTTATTTTTAGGGCATGTTATTCTTGTGCCTCAGAAGGAGCATTTTCAGCTGAGGCTTGTCTCATTTTTAAAGGTAATGCACACCTCTTAATCAATGGCCATTGTGGCCAATCAGGCATTTGCAGGGGGGCCAAGAGGAATTTTGGGGCTCTAGATTGTGACTGTGGTGTGAGACAGTGTAATCACAGTGCGATTTGCACTCCGAGGGGCTGCGCCAGATCAATGGGGACCCAAAAAGGAGAGAAGGCAAACTGCTTTATATAGGTCAGTCAATACTGGGAATAATGATGGAATAATCTCTGTGGGGGACGGTGGCCAGTCGATCCTCAAACACCTCTTATATTGTGTGCATTTACTGTGCATGGGCAATTTGGATGCCTCCCTCCTCCCTCTAAGCCCTCCTCTATGAAGAGAAAGCGTAACAGATGCTCCTTGAATAACCTTAGCCCAGGTTAGGTCCATTGTTTTCCATAGAGGCATTTGTACTTGTGTATATGTATGAATTACACTACTTTGTTAATGTTGGAGGTCCAAGCATGACTACTGAATGTAGTGGTTTTAGCAGATCTGTGATTTCATTCAGATTTTGGTGCACAGCTTAGTAGCCAGAGATAAATTTGCCTTTTGTTTCAGGGCACTGAAATACATGTACCATATTTCAATTCTTCTTAGAAGATAAATCTGGTCATAGCTTTGCACATTGTATGTAACTCATCTACATGCAAAGTGGATTAGATGTGTTTCATAAAGTATGTTAAAACCTCAATTTGAATGTATGGAGGGCTTTTTCAAGGATGCAAAGCTTCTGTTCTTCAAGGTCAGATGTATGACAATTTTGTTTTAATCCTACCACCCTTAAGTTAACTTATGGGTCTGACATAATAAGACCAAGAGCAGCCATAAAAAGAGACTTCCTTCCTTAAGAATTAATTGATACAATTGGGAGGCCTTTAAATCTCCAAGTGAGGAATAAATTGAGTTGAAATCAGAGTAGTTTTTCCCCCTCCCTGAATTAATAAAAAAAGAATGTAAAGCAAGTGAATGTGCCCCCTCCATCCTGAAGGCAGGGACAACAGCGGTGCTCCTCACACTCCAGGCCAATGACTCTCGACACCTTGGGAGGGCAGTAAAAACTGTCCTCCCTTCACTATGTCATTTATATCCTCCATAAACGTGTTTTTTTCAGCTCGGCGATATCCCTCCTCACAAAAGAGAGATGCAAATTACAGAGTTGAATGGAATCCCAAGTAGGACTTTTTCCCTGTTGCCTCATTTCTCTGTAGTGCTCTCTAGTTTGTTTCTGCCTGGTGCTGTTGAAGGCTCCGGCAGATCCACTAGCAAGTTGGAAGATATCGGCTGTAGACCAGTAATGACATGCTGTTATAGCCAATCACAGCAAATATGTAGATAAGATAAATTAGGGATTTTGCAATTAACCAACTTAAATCCGAAAAAAACATTTATTCAAATGAATCTCAAGAGTGAATTAACACTGATTAGCTTGCACTTTGTATGATGATAATGTATATTTTAAGTTCTCTTACTGATATCTTTTACAGTGCCAGATGAACACACCCATTTATATGCATTTTTCTATATACATATGCTATCTATTTATTTATTTATTTTAAATGAAGGCTTTTTACATAAATGGTTAAGATGTAAATAAAGTCATTCAGATTCATCTGATGTGAAATGCACCTCTCTAGAGAGACTTGCTGATTTAGAATTGTTCTCAAGAGTGGTGATGGGAACCAGATGTCTGAGGCATTTCATGGCTCTAAAAGCTAGCACATCGAAAGTTATTACACAAAATGTTTATGCATGTGCTGCTTCATGCCTGCACATTGTTTTATGATAGTTAGGCGATACGTTTTTGGCCTAAAATGTAGTTTATAAAATATATGTAGGGGAAAGAGGTACACAAAGAAAAAGGCACATTTCAGATTTACCATCTATTTGATCATTATCAACATTGCTTATTACATTACAGAACTTGATTGTGTAGGTTTAGACAGTAAATAAAATGGTTGTATTTGCATTGTAGACCTCATGACTCCTGATTCCTATCACCACAATTTCAGTGAAAATCTGACTTGGTAAGATACCAAGTTAACAATTTCACATCAATCCACTGTGAATGACTTTGTTTATATCTCAGCAATAGAAGTATGCAGAAATTTTGAAAAATCTGTGAAATTCCCCTTTAAAGACTTCTCAGTTTAACCTTGTCCTGTGAAGCTTTCTTGAAATCTTTGAAAGGCTATTCATGGTTTGCTATTTTTCAGATTTTTCATTGTTTGATTTTTATTCAATTAATTGAAAAATAACTGGTAGACTACTTGACTGTTAATATAATCAGCAGCCCAAGTTTCAGAAGATGGCAGAGATCATTGGGGAAAAGGACAGTTGTGACTGTGCAGGAATGTGGGTGAGCTCTCTCTTTTCTTTCCTGCAGTGTGCTGTGGGAGCCCATGGGCGATGGCAAGCGCGTGATTTCTCTGGCTGATAGCCACGTCGTGCTCTGGGACCTTCAGGAGAGCTCCACCAAGGCCACGGTGAGATAGCATACCTTTCATTATTTGATAACTGCTGTATCTTGCACTGCTCTCTCAGACTGCACTCCGCGCCAGCAGGGCTAGAGCTGTCAAACAAACTGCATGTATGAACTACTGAAATCACCACTAAACCATTCTGTTTAAAAAACCGTATGTTTTCTATTGACTACTATTAGACTAGGAAAATATGGAAGGACTTGGGTTAGACTACCTCCACGTTCAGGAATGACGCAGAGAGTGTTATGATTTTGATCGGCCGCAATACAATGACTAACAGAAAACAAAGCAAATATGCGTTTATCTGTGTCAGTCATGTGACTTTTTTTTTTTGCAGTGGCCATAGTAATGGCCCTCGTCAATAGGAGTGGCAATGGTGGAGAAATAAAAGAGAGCAGAACTCATTCGAAATTTGTCTTATTCATGAAATGAAAACAGGTTTCAAATCTACTGTAGTTTTGCTCTTTTAATTCTCCACCATCGCTGCTCCCATTAAAGGCGGTCATTACTATGGCCACCGCAAGAAAAGTAACGTGACTAAAACAGACAGATGCGTATTTGATTTTTTCTGTGACTCATTATTGTGACCAGTCAACATCCAGCATCCACCATCGCCACATGAATATCTTTTAATAGGTGTTTGTATTACAAAAAAACGAAAGTTTTTTAGGTGTAAGTGTAAGCAATTGATTATTTTCTCACACCTCTCCGGCAGGCCTGGGAGTGTGTATTGTTGGGGGTTTCTCAAGTCAGGCTAAGCCCACCCATGCCCCTCTTGTTGCCAGACCTGGAACACATTATGTTACAGAGTGTCAGAAACCACATAAAGACTTTTTTTGAGATTACATAACAACTGAACAACAGTAGCTTCATAGCTTCAGCACAAAAACTGAAGAAGCGAACTCCAGACACAAAACATGCCTTGGCTAGTTAACTGTATCTGGGCTAAAGCGAAATGTGTTAATCTGTTTTTTCACAGAATTATCACTTTAATTTCTTTGCTTTTTATTGCATTGGGCCTTGTTAAGTCTATCCTCAAGCTTGGATTTACCTATGATGCCAGAAAGATTCTTGGAGTTTTCCTTTAAAACTACTGCTCCAAACAAATATTAATACAATTTGTGGTTAATAAACACTATGTTGTGAACATGATGAATTAAGGATGCTGCGTGGAGACCCCTATTGCTGGAACTAGAGGAGACCACAAAAGCCCCAATTACAGTGCAGTGCCTTTATTTGGATTATCTTTCTTCCACAACCCACTGCCTATGCAATTAAAGTGTCCATGGTGCTGAAAGTCTGGATGAAATGTGAGTTTAGGTTGGTCACTTAATGTCCCATTAGTGAGGAGCTGCTGTGTTGAGGGTATTCATTAATAATCTGCTGCAGTCATTACTAATTAATGCCTCGCAGACTGAGGTTTGCAGGCTGGACGTGTCGCGTTCCTTTTAGGACATCACCCTGACTTGACATTTGGGAACCCGTGTGTGCAAACGCGAGAAACGTCGGCTCTGTTCAGACTACTACCACCTCTCTCTCCCCTCATACACTTTCACTCTCGTTCACCCTCGGCAAAGGTTGCTGGAGAGGTCCACGGTCGCTGCCACGCAGGGCCTCACTATGCGGTCATGCTAATGTCAGCTTTGCATGCAGAGCGAGAGGGGGGTTATCGAGTGGCAAGGCCTGCTGAGGGCACTGTGCCCATTAAAAATAAAAAGGAGTGGGAAAGAGAGAGGGAGAGAGAGCATGCTCAGTCAGATTCCACCAGAGCTGATGAGAATGCTAATCTCCCTCACGCAAGCCCCCCTACTTTCCCCTACACGCACACACATACACGCCAGCTCTCCTCCTCCAGTCTATCCCCATCCTTCTTTTCCTCTGAATGGCTCAGGTTGATGTGTTCATCATGGCCGTGTCCCAGCCTCCGCTTGCGATTGTAAGCTTTAGCTCAAATCTCCGTGAATTCTGCCACACCGCAGAGCCGAGAATTCAGCTCACGACTTCCAGCGTCCCAAACAACACCCACACAGGCCCAGCTAAAGCTCAGCCATCTTTGCAAAATAGCACACCGTGATAAATGGCAGCATTCTTCTGGCTCGTTTTGCAAGCTCTTCCCGAACCCTAATAGACCTCTGAAGTCGTGTCGTCATTCCGTAGTTGGCGTCATTCCCATATGAGGAGCTCTTGGGCTAAGCTGGGTTTCTATATAAGAAAAATAAATTACGTTTTTGAAAATTGCTACTAATAAGCCTTTGGTAAACAAAAACGAAGACCAAATATGAATATTTTTGCATTAAAGCTAACAGTGCTGAGTCAACACCATAAGACTGGACACTTCACCAAAGTACTGCACGCAAGCCATCAAGCTTTGCCAAATGTGGTAGTTGCTTTGGCAGTAATAGTTTACAGTTTGAGTAGTTGATGTTGACATGTAACCGTAGACTCACCTTTATCTAACGTTATTGCAGTGTATAGAATAGCAGTGTTAGCTTGCTTGCAGCATGTATGTAGCACTATTCATGTATTGACTGATAAACAACCTTGTAATTCAGCTGCTTACATCTGGAGCTGCTTATATGTCCATGACAGCATCTACAAAACGGTGCACGTATGGCTGTGGTTAGTGGTGTAAAAATGCATTGCTGCACCTAGACATGCAGCAATATTAATGAAAAAATAATATTGCAACATGTAACACACAATATTACCATGGACACTGAAATACATTCATGCATGTAAATACATACATGTATTTTAGTCAAACAAGTTGCAGTTTTAGCAAAGATTTTCTGAGATATGCCAAGCAGCTCTGGTTCCACTACACTATCACATAATGATCCTATGCTTTATCTGACGTTTGTACCACTTAAATGCGTTATTGCTCTGAACACCTTCACAGGTCACAGTATAGCCTGCAACACTATCCTTTTTACTCACTGTTATCTGGAGTACCAGGGGTCCACTGCCTGACCTGAAAAAGTCCAAAGGCATGATACCCTTTACAGTGATCAAAAAAATAAAAAATAAATAAATAAAAAAACAGGATTCTAGATATTAACGAAAACTGCTGTGCCTGTCATTAAAGAAAGTGGCAACAGAGCAGTGTTTTCCCCAAAAACATATAATCATTAACATATTCTTGCTATTAAAAATGGATTATTATATACACTTATAAAGTATAAAGCTGATAAAGTACACCAATCAGGCATAACATTATGACCACCTCCTTGTTTCTACGCTCATTGTCCATTTTATCAGCTCCACTTACTATATAGGTGCACTTTGTAGTTCTACAATTACAGACTGTAGTCCATCTGTTTCTCTGCATACTTTGTTGGCCCCTTTTACCCTGTTCTTCAGTGGTTTTAAACACCCCATTGTCACTGATGGACTGAAAATAGTCCACCAACAAAAATATCCAGCCAACAGCGTCCTGTGGGCAGCGTCCTGTGACCACTGATGAAGGACTAGAGGATGACCAACACAAACTGTGCAGCAGTAGATGAGCTAACGTCTCTGACTTCATATCTACAAGGTGGATTGACAAGGTAGGAGTGTCTAATAGAGTGGACAGAGAGTGGACACAGTGTTTAAAAACTCCAGCTGCACTGCTGTGTCTGATCCACTCAGACCAGTGCAACACACACTAACACACCACCACCACGTCAGTGTTACTGCAGTGCTGAGAATGATCCACCACCCAAATAGTACCTGCTCTGTGAGGGGCCACTGGGGTCCTGACCACTGAAGAACAGGGTAAAAGGGGGCTAACAAAGTATGCAGAGAAACAGATGGACTACAGTCTGTAATTGTAGAACTACAAAGTGCACCTATATAGTAAGTGGAGCTGATAAAAAGGACAATGAGCGTAGAAACAAGGAGGTGCCTGATCTGTGTATATGCTTGTTTTTTGGATTCTCAAGCTATTTTCAAACTTAAAAATGCAAGAAAATCTTGTGTGTTGTTGTTATTTATAATATTCCGCTGCTGTGTAAATACTTTCTCCAGTCACGTTTTTGTATTTTAGTGAATATTCAACCACATTTCTAAATCATACCAAATAAATCCCAAATCAAAATGAATCATGGGGAAATTGTAAAATTCTTGATGCTTTGAATCATTTCCTAAATATTCATAATCAAATTGAATAGCGAGGTCAGAGATTTACAGCCCTACTAATGGCATTAGTGCTAATGGACAGTGCTCATGGCTTTGAGGGTGCCATTGCAGCTGAGGCTGGGGTTGGAGTTGTTCTCCATTTCTGACTGGACACTAGAGCTGGAGTAATGAGACTGTACGCAGTGCGAGCAGCGCGGCCCGGATCGATCCGCTCCAGCACGCCTTTGTGCTCTGGCTCGCCTCCAACAAGCCCTGAAAAAAACGAGAGAAGGAAAGACGGAGAAAAATCAAGCTCCCCTATCGGCTCTTCCAGCGGTGGCTGAGCCCCGAGCTCGCTGAACAAAGCAGCAGAGGACAACTCCCACAGACGCTCAGTGCACTGGCCTTTGTTTATTAGATAAGGTGCTGTTGGTTTTGTGCAATTTGCTTTGTGCCTTTACTGTAGTAGTTTTCAAGAGTGAGTCCAAGCTCTGTTAAAGCACTGCATTGAAAACCAAGCCAGGTTTGTTTCAGTGAACACTGTGGATGTCTATTTGCCCTACGGTGTCCATGCTGAGAATCACTTAGGCTTTTTAATTTAATGTCTGCTGTGTTTTGTGCTGATACCACTGCTAAAGTTGCAACATGGATTACATTACTATATTGCTGCTGTCTGATCAAAACCTTGTATCTCCAGAATAGTAACTTTACAGGAAAAGGAAAAAAACATACTATACTTTTAATGTGAGTCAATGGAACCAGACTTCCACATCATTTTGGGCCATTTCTTTTTGTCCATTCATCATGAAATTTACACACAGTGTAAAGGACTACAGGCATTTTCAAATTATGTAAAAAACTGAAAAACGACAAAAATGGAGATATGAGGTTTCCGACAGCAGCGATATATTATTATGCTACTATACATAACTATTATATCAACCTACATTACTATTAGATGACTTTGTATTGTAATATTCCTTATTCAGTTATTTAAATTGAATTGAATACATTTAAATAATTTAATTGAATAAGCAATAAATTATTCACTTTACTTGGACGGTGTGAGTTTATTAATTCATCCAGATATCCACAGAAACTCATCTAGACAATCTGAGTCTTGTTGGGATGGTCATAGCACACAAAAACAATGTAGTTATTTGTTAGAGGGCTCATTTGCGTATTGCTGTCTGTCTGTGATGTCGGTATCAATGCGATCAGTGTTGTGTCTGTATACTAATGTGTATAGACCTAACATGATACAATGTGGTTACCACACCAATATGCCATCATTGCCATAAACTGGAATTGTATCTACTTAAAACATTTCGTTACATTTGGAAGAAGACCAAATGTTGGTTTACTGAGCAGTGGACTTTCTGTGGACTGTGGGCAGATAGAAAATTGCTTCTCAGTGCTCACGAGCTCAAAAATGACAATTATCTGCAAGTTGCATTCCCTGCTGCCTGGCACGAAGTAACATGATACAGATAGCGTTGGAAAAGATATTCTCTCTCTCTTGCTCTGTCTCTCCCTGTTCTTCTTTCTCTCTCTCTCTCTCTCTCTCCTTCTCTCTCTCGCACTCATGCTTTCCTTTCCTTCCTCTTTCACTGTATCTCTCTTTCTGTCTCTCTCTGTCTTTCACTTGCTTGCTTTCTCCTCTCTCTGTCTGTTTCTCTCTCTGTCTCTCTCTTTCTCTCTCTCTTCCTTGTGCAGGCTTTCTCTATCTCCTCTTTCTCTTTATCTCTTTTTCTCTCTCTATCTCTTGCTCTTTCTTCCTTTCTTTCTTGCACTGTTTATCTCTCTCTCTTTCTCTGTTTTGTTGCTTACTCTCTCTCTGTCTCTCTTTCTTTCTTCCTTCCTTCTTTCTTGCACTCTTTATCTCACTCTCTCTCTTTCTCTCTCTCTTTCTATCTCTGCCCCCCCGTCTCTCTCTACTTTCTTTCTCTCTCAATTTAATTCAATTCAATAAGCTTTATTGGCATGACCCTATTCAGTTACAGTATTGCCAAAGCATTATCAAGAAGGAACACTGTCTCTCTCTCCGTCTCTCTCTCTCCATCTCTCTGTCTGTCCCGTGTTCTTTGTGGCACCAGTAATGACAATCTCACCTATAGAACCTTCTACAAGAGCCACCAAGGGCACTCTACAGTCACAGCAGCCCATGTCACTGAGTTTCCAATGAAAAGGTGAAAAGTACAGCCCCCCTCTCACAGGGGCTGCTGTCTCTTTGGCTCATGTCAATACGTGTGGTTGAAGCGGTGGGTCTGTGTTCACTGGTGCACACTATCCACTCTGTAACCGTCCCTGACCGGACATGTGCATGTTACGGGTGCTCATTGACTGCTCAGCCATTGATTAAGATATGTGTGTGTGTGTTGTGTGTGTACGTGTATCGATTTCCCTCTCCAGATTTCCAGCAGCGCCACCCTGGAAGGCAAAGGGCAGCTGAAGTTCACCTCAGGCAAATGGAGCCCTCACCACAACTGCACCCAGCTGGCCACAGCCAACGACACGGCCATCCGCGGCTGGGACCTCCGCAGCATGAGGTGAGCTCAGGGGTCAGATTACATGGGCATGATGACAAAGCTGATGAGAAAATATTTACATATACCTTTTAAATCATTTCAACACTGCCAGGTGTGTCCGTGATATACAAATCAATATTTTTGTGAGCAGGTGAGTAAACGCAAAGAAAAGAAAACAAATACAGGGAGCCATATTTACTCCACTCTTTTAAAAAAAGATTTCTATTAGATCTATATGCATATAGTAAAGATATTGAAGTGTGCTTGATTATATTAAGACATTTTTCATAAATGAACAAAATGCCCTGACAAAACAGTATTGCTACATAAGATACAGTGGGCAGTTCTTTCTATAACTGGTCTCTGTAATTGGCCTTTTATATTATAGGTGCAGTTGTTAGGTGTTCTAGAGGTACTGACAGTGCCCCTGTAAGGCTGTCATGATTACTTTATATAAAAGTTCGTCGATTTACGTTCCCAATAAATTGGCTTAGTAATTTGTTTGCAGTCTGAATGATAAAAATGTCATCCATCGGTTGTCCTAAAACTGCGTTTGGCAAGCTGAAGATTGTCAGCACTTTGTGAGCAGCACTGAAGGAGAGGGATCTCATGAATGCATAAATGTTTGTAGTTACAAATTGCATGTGTATGAAGTAAAAGGTTTGGTGTAGGTCTAGGCCGGGGTCGGCAACCCAAATGTTAAGAAGAGCCATTTTGTCCTTCAACAAAAATCTAACCACCTTGGTAGCCACAACATTTTATGTCCAGTTTACCATCTTGGCTAAAAATATGTCTCAGTATGTGCTAACATCCTAGTAAATGAAAACGCAGACTTAACGTTACTTTGCTCTTCTTTAAGCTGTGGCTCAGCTATAGCCGCTTTTTCTCTGGCAGGAAACTTCTTTGCAAAAGTAAAACAGTTTCTAGAATATTGTCCCTCAACATTTGACTTTGTACGAGGCTGGTCAGCTTCTCGTTTGCCAGCTACTTGTCTAAATTCTCCCGTTCCACCTTAAATAGTGCCTGAGGCACCAGAATGTAACTGCTGCACCATTTAAGGTGGATCAGGAAAATTCAACCAAGAAGCTGACTTCAGCTTCACAACTTTCTTTAGTGTTTGACAGTTTCTCGTTGCAGATTAAACATATCAGGAAACCAGCTGTGTGCTTATAAATGCAAAAAATGCCAAGTCCATTCATCGCCAAATTATCGTTGTTTGTCTTAAATCTCTCTCTCTGCCGTTTCGTTAGCTACTAGTTAGGCAAGATTGTGTTGCTATGGTGACCACCAGTCTGCATGCCAATCTTCAGGGTTAAAGGTTGGTGAATTAGCAGTTATAGGCTACATTAGCTCCAGCATTAAAGATCATTTATTCCTAAAACTGTGTTAGAATGATCAACAGAACTATTTTACTGCAGAGGAGGATTATTTTATTTTTACCTGTAAAATCTAATCCTGCTGTGGAGCCGTACCAGGGAAGCAGAGGAACCGCCTGCAGCTCCAGAGCCGCATGTTGCCGACCCTTGGTAAGGCTGAACAGCTCTGCTGACAGCTAACAGGCTACTCTAATAATATTCAGGTAGGATTCACAGTAAAACTACTACATCCAAAGTAAAGAATATGCCACTTGAATGTGTGTTAGACATTTTAAAGGCTTCAGTTGTCTGTGTTTAAGCAGATCTGGCCTAAGAAGTATTAAACCCAGCAAAACAGTGAAATTTTCATTCCTTTAGCACTAGCAGAAATTAGCATTACCACAGCATTACTAGTGGTACTCCAGAGGTAAGGGTACTTCTAAATTTAACTTGTATGCAGTAAACACTCATATAGTAACATGCACAACTGTGGGAAGTTGCTCAAAGCAGCATTAGAGATTTCTCAAAATGGCTTTAAAAATTACTCAAATTGCACTCAGATGAATTTACTGACACCTGCAGGTACCCTAGCAACGCACATGTTGAGTTGTCTTACTAATCCCTCTTACAGTAAGAAACAAAGCCTGATGGACACACAGTTTTATGCATTTTTAGCCCTATAGTGTTTTATTTATGAACAAAGATATTCAGAAGCTTCTTTTTCACATCTTTTTTTAGTAAGGTTTCTAAATCGTCTCTGAATAGTATGATATTGTTCAGTTAAGGCCATTTTATTGTCACTCTATTAATCATCAGGTCATGTTGTTGGCTGTGTATTTCTTCCTGAAGGGTAGTAGTTAATTAGTTTAAGCATAGTACTTTAATTTGACCATCTCTTTTTAGAAGAGCTGTATACATGCAGTACATAGGAATATACCATCCTTTAAACTTTCTCTGTAAGGTCTAATTAGATGTTTAGCATTTAGCTGTACAGATATGGCTTCTCCCTGTTAGTGTGATGGAGCGGCAGTGCTGCCTGGGTGTGTGTCAGTTAGCGAGGCAGGGCTGGTGCAGTGAATCATATGGAGCAGATGGGTGATGGAATGAAATGAGCCTCCATGTGGGCTGTACTGCAGGAATAATAATCACAGCACTATTGATCCCTGTGATAACACAGAGCCAGACCTTGAGAGGGTGAAAGAGGGAGAGAGAAAAGGAGAGACGGAGAAAGAGTACAAAGCAGCGGAGGAGAGATAAAGTGAGAAGGAGGAGATAACAGTGGGAAGAGAGCAGAGATTGGAAGCGATAGAGAAGGATGGACAGTGGAGATACCAGCTGAAACACAGAAATGGAGAGAGAGTTGGGAAGAAGAGAGAGAACCACAGAGAGTTGTTCAGTGCATAAGCAAAAGCATGCCAGAGGAACACTGAAGGGAGGAAAGATAGGAAACAAGTGAAAAATGGAACAACAATGAGAGCATAAGCAAGATAAAAGAGTGTAAAGGGATTGTTTCTGTAGAAGAATTGTACTACATAATTTTCTCCAGCCTTTCTTTTGCTCTCCTTGTGCATTATAATAAGAAACATTAATAAGCACACACAAAGAACTGTGAGCCCCTGAAAGTCGAGCCTTGCTAGTGTTTGTGAGTATTTGAATGCACTGTATTGGAGGTGAAATCTTCAGCTTATATATCAGTGTATGTGAGTATATATAGTATTGTTCAGTGTATACTTTGTCAGTATATGTGAGTATACTATATGCCAGTATATCGCTGCTGTCGGAGCAAAACCCCATATCTCCATTTTTGTTGTTTTTCAGTTTTTGACATAATTTGAAAATGCCTGATGAATGGACCAAAAGAAATGGCCCAAAATTACTTGGTAAAAATTCTGTTTCCATTGACTTACATTACAAGTAAAGTGTGTTTATTTCTTCTCCTGTAAAGTTACCATTTTGGAGATACAAGGTTTTGTTCCGACAGCAGCGATATATTGCTGTATATGTCAGTGCCCTCCACAAATATTGGCACCCTTGGTAAATATGAGCAAAACAGGATGTAAAAAACATTTTTTATTCCTTTCCTAGCCTTTTTTGAAGTACAATCAATGAAAAAAACGAAATCTTATCAGGAAATATTTTTTTTCCAATTATGTGTGCCACAATTATCAGCCCCCGTTCATTTAATGCTTGCAGCCTCCTTTTGCAAAGACAACAGCTCTGAGTTTTCCCCTACAGCGCTTAATGAGACCCTCCATACAGAATCTTTCCAGAACCTACAGAATCTCTCCAGAACCTACAGATTCCAAGGTCCACACTGTGGATTCTCGTCAGCTCATCCCACAGGTTTTCTATGGGGTTTAGGACAGGGGACTGGGGTGGCCTTAATTTTGTTGGCAGTGAACGATTTTTTGTCAATTTGAGGTGTGCCTTTTATCACTGTCCTGCTGAAAGATCCAAACTATGGCCCAGTTTAAGCTTCCTGGTTCTGCTGATACAATGTATCTGAATTAATTGTCCAGGGTCTTTGGATGAAAAACAAGCCCACAGCATCACAGATCCACCACCATACTTCACAAGGAGATGGGGTATTTTTCTGCATGGCTATCTTTGTGTTCTCCTCTGGTGTCTGTTGCTAAAAACCTCTATTTTGGTTTCATTTGACCATATAGCATGGTCCAACTGAAAGTTCCAGTAACGTTTGGCAAACTTGACAGACGTTTTGGTCCTTGACAGCAGAGGCAACAACTTGTGGTTATATAGGTGGTGTTTGATTATGGTTTGGGAGACATTCTGACCCCAAGACCTAATTAATCTCTGCAGTTCCTCTTCCTGGTAGATTTTTTAACACCTTCAATTACTTTAAGCATCTTTATTATTGCCCTGATAGTGAAAATGGGCATTTTCAACTGTTCAGCTACTTTCTATACTTTGTATGTAGCCATTTCCTAATTTGTGCAGCTCAGCATTCTTTTTGTCATACGTCATTGCTGTTTTCTCTGATCTTTCTCATAATGATGGATGACTAAGGACATTGGACATGTGTTTCATCGATAATATATTCCCCAGTCAATAGGGAAGTTTGGGCTGACCATTTAAGTGGAATATACTTTGCTCAGGTGAACTTAAAAGCATAAAATATGAATGGGAATATACTTAGATTTCGCTCTTAGGAATTTCTAGGTGTGTCAATAATTGTGACATACATAGATTTAAGAAAAATAATTAGCTGTGGGTCAGACTGGCACAACATGCAAGGGGAGTATTGGACCGTTCTTCCTTACAGAACTGCTTCAGCTCGGCCATATTCTTTGGGTGTCTGGTGTGAACAGCTCTCTTGAGGTCATTCCACAGCATCTTCATGCAGTTAAAGTCTGAGCTCTCATTGGGCCACTCCAAAGGGTGCATTTTTGTTTTTCTTGAAGCCATTATGTAGTACAACCCCAATGCCCAAAAGGTTGTGACACTGTGTAAAATGTAAATAAATTTAAATAAAAAACAGAATACAATGATTTTTTGCAAATCTCATAGACCCATATTTTTATTCACAATAGAACATAGAACACATATCAGATGTTGAAAGTAATGAATATTTACCATTTCATGAAAAACATTAACTCATTTAGAACTTGATGGCAGCAACACATCTCAAAAAGGTTGGGACGGGGC